ATATCCCAACTGATTTATAAATACTGAGCTTCTGGAAATACAACAAATAAAAAGCCAGGGGTCATTGCTGTCTACAGACTACTACCGTTGGGACATCTTCATGACATGGCCAGAAAACGTCTCATGGGCTTACATGCTGGGTACTCCAGTTAGCAAAGTCCCGGGGAGGGGAAACCAGACAGTTAAGCTTTATTCAATGTAGGTTTCAGGCTTGAAGTTCGGGAATTGGGGGAGGTTTAGTCATTTATTTTTGAGCTCATGGAAAGAAGGGGTTGATAGCGACAGCTCACCCCAGTTAGCAGGCAGGCTCCCCACACAGCTGTGCTGGCCTATTTCAATTAGGATCCTTTAGGACTGAGATCACCCCTGGTATGCCAGTCCTAAGCCGCTCATGAGCCAGTACTGCCAATCAAGCCGAAATTCAACCACATGGTATGGTTGTTATGATGTAGACAGAAAATGACATGGACTTGTCTCATTCTGGTGAAAACATAAAGTCTGAAGCCAGCTCTCTAGAAGAAAAAAAGTTAGTGAAAATGGCAAGACCGCAAAACTTAATTTAGACACATTTTCCTGCGATTATCTCAACACAATTAACCAGTAGGTTACTCATGATGATTCAAGGAATGCTCTCACTAAAAAAAAGACTGTGCTTTTCATGCTATGAAGAGGTCTCTTTTGAGTCACCCTGCTCATGAGAACACAAGAACCCATATACTCTGTATAATGAGGGGAGGGTAGAATAAAACTTAAGTAATTAGTCCTGGAACCTGAAATAGACACATTTAAAGCAGAGTTGTCACTGGACCAAAGAAACTGAACTATACATATCAAGTTAGAAAACACCAAATATGTATGTGGAGAATTAGAGAACTGTGTGATAGTTTCTGTAAGTTCTTTCTTCTCTTAATTTAGTTCAACAACAGTTATGATGCCTATATATGCACGATATACTCTACTAGTTGTTGCAGAAAATGCAGAAATTCACAGGACACTGTATCTTTTCCTGAAATAGCTTTAAATTATATTTTGATTAAGCTATTATAAAGGGGAGAATCAAAACACCAGATCACGTCTCATCCAAATATAAATCCTGTGCCAAATGCACCAATGTAAACTGGGTTAAAAAGTGAGTTCCAAGTCTAAGGGTTAACCACACTTTACTGATTAAAATTGCACGAATTAAATCTCCTTCAATTTTGTTATAAGGATATAAGGATAAAGTCTGTGCTGCTCCTAAGTTTGAGTAACAGCCTACCCCATGACATGCTAGAGAAGTGCTTTCTGGCTTAGTCATGCATATTGATAAAGGGGAATCAATATGTGTTAACACTTACTGAAATGCACAGATACATTCATTTATTCATTCTCTCGCAAGTCTTCAAAATCCATGTCGTTTTTCAAGGAAGAAAATTCCTGGTGTAATAGGATTCTTTTGTAGTTCACTAGTGACCACTATTGGACATACTTGCCTCAACTTATATAAAGCAATAGAACTGGTTCACATGAAAATAATAACGGAGACCAGAAAGTGGTCCTGAACAAACCAGACACTAAAAACAGAAGCCTGAGAAAACAAAAATGCAGCTGACCCTGTCTAGACAAGAAACTTTGCAAAAACACAAAGAAAATAATGTTAAAAGAAATGCCTCACTGTTTTGCAGATTTATGTAAAAAAATCCTTAAGTTTGATTTAAAGACAATCTAGGCATGATAATAAACAATAGATATAAAAAGGTATTTGTGCGCACACACACACACACACACACACACACACACACACACACACACCTCTTATTGGAGCAGACCACAGTCTGCTGTAAATAAGGGATTTAACATTCATTCCACAAGCTAATGGTGCTTCTAGCCATCCAAGATAGATCCACTTAGATAATAGTGGAGGAGAGTGCCAGAGTGACTGAAGGGAATGGGCTATTGTGTTTGACTAGTTTCCATGTATAAATTAGTGCAGAGAAGAAAAAGAAATTCAACAGAAAAACACATGTACTTTATTATAATTCTGAGTGTTACTCTTGCAACTCCCACAATAGCAGGCGAAAGAGCTTAAAACCACTTAAAAGAAACAAAAAGCAAATGCAAATTTGGTTAAATGCCTTTCTGACAAGAAGTGATTTGACTTCAAGTTTGGATGGACACATATGTCAATGGCTGGTCATGGTTTCTGCCACATTCCTTTTGAGCTAAACAATTGGGACAAAAAAGAAAAGGAGAATGAAAAAGGAAAGCAGGGTGGGAAGATGTGGAAAGTTGGGTTATGTGGCTTAATTTGACCTGAATATCAGGATGAAAACCTTTTGGTCAGTACTACTGTCCTATTGTGTCCAGAATAAAAATAAAGTCTATGGTGTATGAGCTTTGCATGAAAGTATGGGTGGTAACCTAAACTAGATACAATAGACACAGGGACTGCATTCTCTCAGGAACAATGCTCCAGATAAAAAGGGCTTTGGTGAACCACATTCGAGATTTGTACACACGAAGCAAGGCATGATACGGATGATTCAACTGCCAGTGATATGAAGGCTGTTTTGAAGTAGAAACTGGCTTGCCGCTAAAACAGAGTGTTTTCCAACTAAGTTAAAGGGATCTTTCAAAATTGCTTAAATTAATTCTAAGAGTAGACAGACTCTTATATAAAAGAACTACAGAAAAAAACACAAGGCAACCAGTTCAATTTCTCTATCTAGACTGAGGGTTGAGTTGACAAATGTCACACTTCTAGTTCTAAGTCAACTAAAGATCAGTCTAAAGGTTACCTTCTCTTAGGCCAGTTAATTTAATTTTGGCTACAAAGCTAAAGGGGGCAGTTAATGAGCAAATGTAACAACTGTGCATAATATTGTACACATCTTTAATGGCCAAGATGATGCAAAAAGCCTACGTATCTCAAAGTCCAAAGGTCAACATATGCCATTGATTCCATCATTGCTACATAATTTATGACCACAGTAAAAAGCAAACAAGTTATGTTCTCTCCGTTATGTGTTGATTTGGGGACTCAAATATAAGCTTATTTCCTTATCTCTAAAATGGGTTTTAAAATGTCTTATTTGCAAGTTTATTGTGTGGATGCTTTGTAATGCTTTTCAAACAACCGGCCTAGTGTTTGGCCCTTTCAGACACACAGTACCCGGCACAGGGGCGTATCTTGGCACATGCCAGTTCTCTTTTCTTTCTACCATAACTCTCAGGACCCCTGTTCATTTAAATACAGGTATGAAACAAACCTGGATTTGATTTCATTTTATCCTCAATACAATTATTGTAATTGAAACAAAATATGTTTTATGTTTTAAACCTGAAATAAGTCTCATTATGTGCTCAAATACACATATGAATAGTCAAGATATCAAAGAGGGATATAATGCATTTACCAAATGGGTAGCAAAACAATCTATTTCTGAATGGGAAAGTTTTTTTCCAATGTAAAATGAGATCATACTTCATATGGAAGATACCAAAAAAGTAATGTGTACTGGTAATTTGCTTCATGATATAATTAGATGGGAACATAACACATACTTTTAAAAAAATCACAAAGGAAAAAAAAAAGACGAGGCAACCTAATGGTGTGTATGTAAGTAACACGTCCCATATGGAAAAAATGAGACACCTTTCATAAATTGCTTGCTTCAGTAGTCATAAAGCACACCTAGGCATTCTGCTTTTTATATTCCTCCAAACAGCTAAAACTTCAGTCCATTCATGCCTAAAATTCAGTTCTCCTTTAAATTTTCAAGAAATCTTAAAAATACATTTCTATATTTATAGCCTTTGCAATGTAGCATTATGATTTCTTGGCTACAATGATGCAAATAAGTGGAAATGTATAAAATTGTTAATCACTGTCTGATTACTCTATCTGATGAATCTTCAATTTGTACCAAATGGCTTACTTCCCTTCTTCATAATTATAGTGCAGATCAAATTTGTCAGAGTGTAATCAGAACAAAACATTCCTTCACCATTGACGAATCAATGCAACCTACATAATTCGCTGCCTGTTTACCTTGTCTCCCCCCCCCACCCCCCCGCCCCGGCCTTGTTGCCTCCTGAGGAAGTGTGGGCATCCATAAATGTCACGGGGAGAGCTACAATCACGTTTGTTTGGAATCAGTGTGTGCACATTTTGGAATCAAACCTTCAGATGAGGTTTACTAAGCTGCCTGCCCAGAACACTCTGGTTTAAAAAATGTGCATTGCTATTAATATTTTGAGTGTAGATTTTTTTTGGACAGTAAATGTTCATTTTCTGCCCATAAAACCAAGTATGAGTCACAATGGAACATTTACTTTGAGTCAAAAATGCAGTGTGTGCTGATGTTCCAGAGCAGAGCATCTTATCACTGCGACTATGGAGAGCAGCCGTACAGAAAGTCAGCATTTTCTTCTTCTTCAAAAGCAGATCTGAGATCAAAGACCATAATCCTCAATTCATAAATAGCAGCATTAACTTGTATCCATACATGACTTGGAGTAATTATGAGCTATAATCTGGGTTGGCTGCAAAGAGGCGCTCTTCCCTCTTTTACCTGGTTCCGCAGCACATGCTCACAGAGGGAAGAGAGTTCCTAAAGGCGGTGGGGGAAAGCCCCTCATAGCCCGTCCTTCAAAAAATTCCAGGAACACAGCAGTGAGTGAGTGATCTGAGGACGCCTGTCATCCAAATTCCAAGCATACACACCATCATTTACACAGTCCCCAGCTCGCAAACTCGGTGCAGTCTATCCCAAAGTTCGTGTCTCGATATTATTATAGACCTCTCACTGATCCCACAACGTCTGGCAGACTGTATTTTGCTTGAGAAGTTGGGGTTAAAGTTCTGAAAGAATTTTTTTTTAAGCACGTAAATTATTTTACCTGGCGTTTGAAGATCAAGATATACACCCCCCCCACACACACACACACACATACAGGGCACCCCAACAGCACCCAGACTAAATGGCAATAGCAATGTATAAAAAGGAAAAGGCATTTACCAGGAGCAGGAAAGCCAGAAAGAGGAGCGGTGTGCCAGGAGTTGCCCGACGGCAGCATTCCATGCTTGGATCTTTGCCGGAATCCGGATCGGACACTGAATAAGCTGCTAAGTGCTCCTCTGCCTGCTGTCACATCCAGTCCTGGTGCTAACACTCCAGCCCTGCCTATCAGCTTCCATCAGCCCCGCTCACATTTCCTGACTAGGGGTGGGTGGGTAGGTGGATGGGTGGGGGGTAAGCTGAATGGAATCTCTCTCGGAGCAGGCAGCCAGCCAATCAGGCTCCTGCTAATCAGACATGCTGAATAACAAAGCCAGGGGGACAGAGAAAGTGTAACAGTGCGAGCAAAAAAAAAGAAGGGGAAAAGGACGAAAAAGAAAGGAGAGCAGAGCGCGCAGCAGAGCCAGGAGAGAAATGCAAAAGATGCAGAACTGCAGACGATGACGCCAAGCCCTGTGCTATGAGCTAACCTGGTTAGTTCTTTGTGAGATACATTTCTGTTTTGCCATTTGCTTGTGCTGATGCCTGTGGCTTTGTAAAGTACAGTAGCTCCCTGTGACTCTGTATTGTTCCATTCAGGAGAGAAACTTAATCCCTGTCAATATATAACATATGCCATAAAGGGAGAGAATCATAGACAAAACCTGACTTAATGTGCCCTTTAAATGTGTGCTGTACAACGGCTTTATTCCTCTTCCATAAAGTTGCTCTTTATTTTTCCCCTTGACTTGGAAAAGGGAGACTATATAAATTTTTGAAAGTTACTCCCTAAACCTAAATAGTGGCATAAGTTACTTAGTGTTTTAATGACTTGATCTAAAGAAAAAAAAAAGGAAGCTGATTCTTTGTAAAGTGACAATTTTAAACACCCAAGATTTACTAAGGCTAAAGGCACAATTAGAAATTTAGATCCACTCGTTTAAAAAGAAGCCCTTAACAAAGACAGGGATGACTGGCACTGAAATTTGAGGTTGAAGAACAGCCTGCTTTTGACACATGGCCAACTCTCAACTGTCTGCGTTAGGAGGGGAGAGAAAAAAAGGATGAATTAAATCCTCAGTTAATCCCCAAACCTTTTAACCGACAGACAGTTTCAGCCTCCTCCTTCGTGTCCTTCATCAGAGCTGCTGTAACGCAGCAGAAAAGGCTGAAGTGAGTTTTGCCTCCTTTTCCTCTCCCTCCTGCAGTGGATGGAGGGATGGCCCTCCAGGTCCAGCCCAGCCTGGAGGAAGTGCTAACAAGCAGTGAAATGATGACAAGGCCAAGGGAAGGGCAGGAAGCTTCTGAGTCCTGTTAATCCACCAGCGAGCAAGATTTCACTCTACCAGAGGGGATTTTATTACAGTTTTAGGAAAGTGTCAAGTGTCCAACAAGGACGTCTTTCTCCTTATCTGCTAAGGAAATCACTGGGTTTTTGAAAGAATGAAATAGCAAACTTGGCCTTACATTTCCATAGGTGTGTTGCCAGGAAGTTTTTCCTTTGTAGATCTCTTGATAGGCTATATATATATGGTAGAAGACACTTAGGACTAATGTTCTTTCCTTTCGTTAATAAAAAAAAAATACCGACAAGAGGCATGAAACACACAAATATGGAAAACCTGATGAAGCCATAGTAGGCATGTGAATACAGGCAGGTCTGCCTATATACAGATCTGCAGTGTTGCTTTTCAGAAAGGTGAGGAAAAGCAGGTTGTTCAACTTCAGGCTACTGGCTTTTCTTATGATATATCAATTAAAGACAGCAGAGCTTTAAAATTCCCATTTTTAACCTGTGAGGAAAGTCAAGGGCATACAAGGATTCACCTTCTCTTCACCTAGGAAAATGGATAGTACTGATCCACACCACAGAGGCTCTGTTCCTAACATGTGCTTTTCTCTTTCACAAAGATTCATTTCGCGAATCTTTCAAAAATTGGTGAAGGCTCATAAGCTGAAGAGTATTCATGAGTAACTGTAAAAGTACTTGAGTGGTGTGATCTGAAGTCTTTATCATATTAAAAATGGATTGATTGAAATAACCTTTCATTTATGAAGCTATGTTACATCTCTCTCTTTTACACATTAGAGCTTTCTGCCACCGGGTTTTTTCTTCTATCAGAGTTACTAGCTGTAGAGTTCCAACTAGTTCTGTAAAAAAAAAAAAAGGAATATTTTATCTCCCTCCTCACACCTAAACTTCACTCATGCGGCAGGTCAATAGGGCAGAAGAGGTGGTGGAGAAGGAATAATAGCAAAAATGGTAATGGTACAATACCATTTGTAGAAGAATTGAAAAAAATGGTATAAGAGAATAACTGGTAGCCACTTATATGCTAGTCTAGATTCCTTCCTGCTTGGGAAATAAATATTGTCTAGATGGTCGAGTCAGAGATTTCTTTAGGCTTTGGTGGACATGTCAATGTACAGCAAGATGGTCACCACAACCCTCACTGTATAGTAGAATATTTTTTAAGTCAAGCTCTAAATCATTTCTTGACTGTCAGGAGGATGCCCACCACAGTGTCTCATGCTTCTGGTCCCTATGCTTGTAGCATTTCCTTTCCGGTTGGGGGATGCCCCGAGAAATGAGGAAAAGCAGTTGCACAGTTAAGCATTAAGCATTCTAGGGCAAACTCCAAGCTTACTGTAACTTCAGAAATAGGAGAACAAAACCAACGTGCGTTAGGGTGATGGAGGTGAGTTTCTGGCATGAGCTAATTTTGATAACTAGTGAAGTTTATGTGATATCTTAAAGTTTACAAAATGATTTTACACCCGCAATCTCATTTGACCTTTATAACTACTCTGTGAAGTTATTTAAGTAACTCACCCCATTTTATGTGAAAACTGGGGCTCAAAGAGGTGAAGTGACTTGCCTGAGGCTCCACTGGCTAGAACTGGCCTTTGAAAGAGGTCTTCTGACTTTTACTCTCTCTCATCATTTATATGTACTCATCCATGCATATATATAATGTGCGTGTATGTGTGTGTATATGTGTGTGTGTGTGTGTGTGTGTGTGTGTGTGTGTGTGTGTGTGTGTGTTGGTAGTGGTGTCATAGTGGTTGGAGGGGATTGTTTATAGTGAAGGCAAGGGGGCAGGAGGCAGGCTACCCAGGTTTACTATAGGTCCACACTACCTGACAATGGAAAGTATCTCATATTAGTGTATAACGTCTCTGTCTCCTGTCTTCATCATTTCTAAAACCTTTATCAGAGCCGAGGAAAAATAACATCAAACCCTAGGTAATCTAGCTCCATGCTAACGGCAGCCTGGGAAAGGCCTCTTATGGCATCTGAGCAGGGCGTTGGCCGAGTTCCTTTTTTCCTCTTCAGGTATCTAAATTAAAGCCGTCTGCCAGTGTCTGAGCAGCAGCAGCAGCGGCAGCAGCAACCCCGGCTGCTGTAATACTGGTTACCGGCTCCCTGCACAATATATTAGGTGAAATGAAAGCAGAAGCAAGAGTGTCAGGGCTGTCTGAAGCATCATTCCAAATGGTATGGATTTAACAATACTTAATTTAAAAAACACCAGCTTGGACAGGAGCAAGCTGTTAACATTCAGTGTGCTTTATGGCAGGAAAGAGTGAGCTAAACTCTCGGAATTTCTCTCCCTGGGGAGAGTACGTTACAGTGTTCACGCTGGAGCCACCTGTCTCTTCCTGAGGTTGGGCCTTCTCACATGGCCCGCCAGTTGAGTAACTGGGGTAAAGAGGGCAGAGGGTCTTCTGGAAAGAACTCAGGGGTGGGGAGCACTGACGACCCGGGTAAAGCCTCATCTCCCCTCTTGAAAGAGGTGGTTATGGTGGCACCTGCGCCTTACTGTCCTCACGGGCATGCGTGGAAGTTGTGCGATTTCCCTAGCTAATTCTGAAAATTAAAGGGAGGAAAAATGGTGTGCGATGAATAAGATAAAATGACAGGAAGCTGACTGCTGGTCTCAGGGACAGAGCTGGAATTTGAGCAGGTGACTGCAGCTCTCCAATTCACCTAATACCCAGTTAGCACACAAGCGATTGGAGTGTTTGCTAAAATTTTCAAATCATCTTTCACACATAATCTAGTGTAATATAAGCAGAAACTCTATAAGGTAGAGAGTAATTATTACCCTCAATGATTGATGAGGAAACTAGTGCTTTTATAATAAGTAGGTTCATCAAAGTTACTTATTAGCAGGTGAAAAATTGGACTGTATCTAAGTGGTTTGACTTTGACCTGGACAACTCTCTGAGAAGTTGATGAGAATAGTTACACTTATTGAGTCTTTCACATGCCAGGCATTGTTCTAACTTTATATTTATTATTTCTTTTAATTATCACAACAACTCTACAATATAGGTATACTTATTATCCCCATATGGATGTTATTTATGGCAGATCAGCATCCACATTCACCCCAAACAGTGCCCTCCTGAAACAGAGGCCAGAAACCAAGAAACTACATTTCCCAGACTCCCTTGCAGCTAGGGCATTGGATGTAACTTAGATTTGGTCACTCAGAAACACTTCCATAAGATTTGGAAGGTGAAAGTGAGGCAGAGACCACACTTTGCTCTTTTGCTTGTAAAAATGACTACAGAGTAATGTGCTTTGTCTGCAGTCATGCTAGCCATTCACTACATTTGTAGGTGGCAAGAGGCAGTTCTAGATGGATCAAAGAATGTGGGCAAGGTTCTTAAAGCCCTTGCATTTCCATTCAGCAGGAGGCTTCCTGGTTATGCAAGAGGCAGCTGCTCCTATGGTGATCTGTTGCTGTAGAGTAGCATGGGAGTCTTCAGAAAGTTCAAACCAGAGACTTTTTGCAATTTTCTGTTAGTTGATTAACACCCCATAAGATAACACTTTATGCTTAGACTAGAGGCCTGGCACACCATTTCTTGCACGGGTGGGGTCTGGCCAGACCACCCGCCATGATCGGCTTGTTTGAGCGGGTGGGGGGGGGAGGGGACTCAGGAGGTTGTCAGGCCAGCCCTGCCCCTTGGTCAAACTCCAGTCAAACTCCAGGTTGAGGGTACAATTTGCATATTACCCTTTTATTATATAGTATTAGCAAGGATACATTCTGTTCTCTGGAACAGAATACTTGACTGATATATCCCCTTTAACAAAGGAGAAGATTGGGGCCCATAGAATTAAATAACTTGCCTAAGATCACATATCCAGAGAGGGGAAAGGCCAAGATCTGAACCCAGGCCATCAGTGTTCCTAACCATTAAGCAACACCGCCCCTTTGTAGATCAAAGGGCCATAGGAATTTAGAGAAGAGAGACGTCATTGCCAGTTTGAGAATTCAGTGAAGAGTACCCAAGTAGAAGAAATAGAAATTGAAAAAGAC